TAGATTGCTTTTTGGTAAGATGGCCATTTTTACTATGTTAATCCCAAGCCATGAGCATGGGAGATTTTTCCATCTTCTGATATCTTCTTCTAATTCTTTCTTCAGAGACTTGAAATTTTTTTCATACAAGTCTTTGACTTGCTTGGTTAGGTTCATACCAAGGTACTTTATGTCCTTTGTGGCTATTGTGAAGGGTGTTGTTTCCTTAATGTCTCTCTCGGCCATTTTTTCTGTTGTATGCAGGAAGGCTACTGATTTTTTTGAGTTAGTTGTGTCCAGCTTCTTTGTTGAAGGTGTTAGTCAGCTGTAGGAGTTCCCTTGTAGAGTTTTTGGGGTCACTCAAATATACTGTCATATCATCTGCAAATAGTGATACTTTGACTTCTTCTTTTCCAATTTGTATCACCTTGATCTCCTTCAATTGTTTTATTGCTCTAGCCAGGACTTCAAGAACAATGTTGAAGAGATATGGAGAGAGTGGGCAGCCTTGCCTTGTCCCTGATTTCAGTGGGATTGATTTAATTTTCTCTCCATTGAGTTTGATATTGGCTATAGGCTTGCTGTATATTGCCTTTACTTTGTTTAGGTATGTTCCTGGTAACCCTGATCTCTCCAAGACTTTAAACATGAATGGATGTTGGCTTTTGTCAAATGCTTTTGCAGCATCTAAGGAGATGATCATGTGGTTTTTCTCCTTCAGTTTGTTTATTTGGTGGCTCACATTGATGGATTTCTGTGTATTGAACCACTGCTACATACATGGGAAGAAGCCTACTTGGTCACAGTGGATGATATCTTTGATGTATCCTTGTATTCGGTTTGCAAGTATTTGTTGAGTATTTTTGCATCGATGTTCATGAGGGAGATTGGCCTGAAATTTTCTTTCTTTGTTGGGCCTTTGTAAGGTTTAGGTATCAAGTGACTGTGGCTTTATAGAATGAGTTTGGTAATGTTCTTTTGTTTCTATTTTGTGGAATAGTTTGAAGAGTATTGGTGTTAGCTCTTCCTTAAAGGTCTGGTAGAATTCTCCCTCTCCATGATTTTGTCCGTTTGTGTTTTCTTTAATTTTTCCAATTCTATCTTCAGATCTTGAACTGCTTTGTTGATTTCCTTCATCTGTCTGACTATATTTTCCTGTTTTTCCCTCAGTTCCTTCACATGTTTGTTTGAACATTCCTCTCATTCTTTTATTTCTTTCAGTGATTTAATCATTTCCTCTCTGAAAGCCACAGACTGTTTGGCTGCATCTTCTTGTATTTCTTTACAGATGGCCATAATCTGTTTGACTTTATCCTCCTGCAATATCCGTGTTTTATTTGTTTCCTCCATTACCCTCTCCATAAGCATAGATGTAAGGTCATCTTGGTTTCCAGGGCTGCCTGCCCCTGGGTAACTGGGGATGCCATATTGCTTTTCCTTTTGTTAGTTGTGCTTTTATTCTGGCCTCTCTCCATTTGGCTGTCTCAGGTTTTGTCTTAATTTCTGGTGTATGCTGGGTCCTGTTGTGGGGAGGCTCACCTTGCCAGGGTTCTAAAGGAGATCTCAGCTTTATGGGTATGGTCAACTGAATGGTGGTGTTTCTCAGGAATTGTCACAGTTCACCTCAGGTATATGGACCTGTGTGGTACCTGTGGTATTCAGGAAGACTCTACTCTCATCAGGAGAGGTCCTGGAGAAGGCTGCCCTGTTTCTGGGTTTCTTGCTCTGAATTTAGTTAGCTGCAGCTGCTGTTCTTAAGTTGTATTTGCTGGGTGCAGCCCTAGTGAAGAATCATGAAGTCCTGACCTTTCGTCAGTTCAGCTAGGGATAATTGGTTGCACCTTGGAGCAGTATCTGAGGGCTGCTCCAATGGCTTTCAGGCTTTTGTAGGTCTGAGATTGGAGCTATGTGCCCCAGTGCCCTAGCTGTAATCAATGGCAGGTGAGCATGGCACTCATGTGTGCAGTAGAAGGGGAGAGCCTAGAGCCTGCGAGAACCCAGAAACTTTTGTGGAGCTGGAAGTCCTGAGGGTTGGACCTGATGTTCTCCCCAAGTCTGTGGTTTTTGGGGATCTGCAGTTCTGTCTGGGATGGCACGCAGGCACAGGTGCAAGTCTCCACCATGCTGGTGACATTGTGCCTGCAGGAACCTGGGAACTTTTCCTGAGAACTTTTTTTTTGGGCGGGTGTCGGCTGAGCTCTGAGTCCATTCATTGTGTGCTTCCACCCGACAGCGAAACTCAATCTTTGCTGTTGGCCCTCAGTTCTGTCTGGGATGGTGAGTCGGGTGTGCAGGCAGGACTCTGTGCTGGTGTGCCACTCTGGGCTGGTCCCTGGGCACCGGCTGGACCCGCGTCTTTTTCAGGGATTGTCTGGGTGACCTAAGGTCGGTCCCAATCGCTTCCTGCACTGTGGGGTTTTCTCTCGACTGGAAATCCCAGTCTCTGGTGTGTGGCGCACACAGTTCAGTCTGGGACAGTGATCAGAGCACTTAGGCGTGTGGGTCTGGGCTGGGGACCCAGTGCCTGCTGAGAGCTGGGAACTTTTCCGCCATTTAGCTGGGTGACATGAAGCTGATTGAATCCCATACTGTGGGGTATCCTCTCACCTGGGAAATACAATCTCTGGTGTTTTAGGGCCCAGAGTTCTGTCTGCTTGTCACTTTGTAGGCCCTGCTGTGCTGCTGGTCAGAAAGAGTGTCCTCCTGGTGCTGCCATCTTGTACCCCCCCACCTAATTTTTTATTCTTAAGAAGAAAATAGTAAGTTGACAGTTATCTCACCTTATTTATTTTTTCTTTAAATTTTTTTAAATTGATTCAGCTTTATTTTCTACCTAAACTTGGCTTACTTTTACATTTAATTAATGTGTGTGTGTTTATGGGTGTAAATATTAAGGCCCAACCTACCTAGTTTTTGCAAATAGAATGACTCTGTCTTCTTCCTGTTATTTTAAAAAAGAAAAGGACAGGAAAGGAAAGAAATACTTCTTGGGAGTGATCTACACTTTATTACCTGAGCTCTATTGTCTGGGCCAGGGCTCTGCCTGCTCTCTCAAGGAGTCTTTTCAGTACTAGGAAAATCCAGTATCCAGCTTGCATCAGGGATAAGTAGATAGCTAAAACGTAGCATAAGAACACATAATCAACAAGAACTAGGGTAATATGGCATCACCAGAGCCCAGCTATCCAACTACAGCAAGCCCTGGATATCATAACACAGCCAAAGCACTATAACATGATCTTAAATCCAGTCTTATGAAGATGATAGAAGCTTTTAAAGAGGAATTGAGTAAGTCCTTTAGAGAAATACAGGAAAAGACAATCAAAGAGGTGAAGGAAAGGAATAAAATTATTCAAGACATGAAAATAGAAGCAGTAAAGAAAATACAAACTGAGGAAATCCTGGAGATGATAAACCTAGGGAAGAGAATAGGAACTAGAGAAGCCAGCACCACGAACAGAATACAAGACAGCGAAGAGAGAATGTCAGGCATAGATTGAAGTAATTGTTACATCAATGAAAGAAAAATGTTAAATCTAAAAAGTTCTTGACACAAAACTTCCAAGAAATCTGGGACACTGTGAAAATACCAAACCTAAGAAAAATAGGAACAGAAGTAGAAGATTGCCAGTTTGAAGGCCCAAAAATATTTTCAACAAAATCCTAGAAGTATATTTCTGCAACCTAAAGAAAGAGATACCTATAAACATCCAAGAAACTTATAGAATATTACTATTTGCTGATGATATGATAACATAAAGAAGTAACATAAAGAAATAACCCCGAAAATTCTCCCAAAGAACTATTCCAGCTGATAAATCCTTGAGCAAATTGGCTGGATACAAAATTAACTCAACTTTTTTGAGTTTCATAGCCTTTCTTTTATACAAGTAATAAATGGGTTGAGAAAGAAATTAGGGAAACAATACCCTTTATAAGAGCCACAAATAATATACATTTCTTGTGTTACCCTAACCAAGCAAGTGGAAGTCCTGTATGACAAAAAGTTCAAGTCTCCGAAGAAAGAAATTGAAAAAAAATCAGAAGATGGAAAGGTCTTCAATACTCATGGATCAGTGGATTAACATATTAAAAGTTGCCAAAAGCAATCTACAGATTCAATGCAATTCCCCTCAAAATTCCAACACAATTGTTTACATCATAATTCTGTATAGTAAAAGAACTTCTGGAGGATATTACCATTCCAGATTTCAAGCTGTACGACAGGGCAATAGTAATTAAAACTGTATGGTATTGGCATAAAAACAAATAGGTCCGTCAGTGGAAATGAATTGAAGACCCAGAAATCTAAACACCTATGGTCACTTGATTTTTCATAAAGAAGGAAAAACCATAAAATGGAAAAAGAAAACATCTTCAACAAATGCTGCTGGTCTAAACTGGATCTTTGTATGTAGAAGAATGCAAATATATCCATATCTATCACCTTGCAGAAAACTGAAGTCTTAAGTGGATCAAAGAATTCAACACAAAACTGGATACACTAAATCTAGTAGAAGAGAAAGCAGGAAAGAGCCTTGAACACTTTGATACAGGAGATAATTTTTTGAACAGAATACCAACAGCTCAGACTGTAAGATCAAAAGTAATTAATAGGACCTCATGAAACTGAAAAGTTTCTGTAGGGCAAAGGACAAATAGGACAAAATGCAGCCTACAGAAATGATCTTTACCAACCCTATATCTGATAGAGAGTTGAGAACCAAAATATATAAAGAACTCAAATTAGTTCAAACCAAATCACCCAATTAGAAAATGGGGTACAGAGTTAAGCAGAGAATTCTCAACAAAGGAATCTCTAATTGCTGAGAAGCACTTAAAGCAATGTTCAGTGTCTTTAGTCAACAATGAAATGCAAGTAAAAACGACTGAGTTTCCATCCCCTAGCCGTCAAAATGGCTAAGATAAAAAACTCAAGTGACAGCACATGCTCCCAAGAATATGGAGCAAGGGAAACACTCTTCTATTACTGGTGGGAGTCCAAACTTATACAGACATTATAGAAATCCATCTGGAAGTTTCTCAGAAAACTGGGAATAAATCTACCTCAAGACGCAACTACTCTACTCTTGGGCATATACCCCCTCCAAAAAAAAAAAAAAAGCTCCACCATGCTCCTAGGACATTTGCTCAACTATATTCTTAGCAGTTTTATTTGTAAATGCCAGAAACTGGAAATAACCCATAAGTCCCTTAACTGAAAAATGGATAAAGAAAATATGGTACATTTTCATAATAGAATACTACTCAGCTATTAAAAACAAGGAAATTGTGCTCACTTTAGCAGCACATATACTGAAATTGGAACTATACAGAGAATATTAGCATGGGCCCTGTGCTAGGATGACACAAATTCCTGAAGCATTCCGTATTTTTTAAAATCCCTCAGAGAAATACAGAAAAATGCAATCAAACAGGTAAAGGAGATGAATAAATCCCTTAAATATGGGAAAATCCAAGCAAACAGGAGAAGGAAATGTATGAAACTGTTCAAGACCTGAAAAGGGAAATAGAATCAATAAAGAAAACAATCTGAGGCAATCCTGGAAATGGAAAACTTAGGAAAGAGAAAAGAAATGACAGATGTAAGCATTACCAGCAGACTATAAGCGAAGAAGGAGAGACTCTCAACCATAGAAGATATGATAGAAGAAATTGATATATTGGACAAAGAAAATGCTAAATCTAAAATTTTCTAAACACAAAACATTCAGGAGATTTGGGACACCACAAAAAGTCTATACCTAAGAATCATAGGAATAGAAGAAGAAGATTCCCAGCTCTAAGACCCAGAAAATAACTTCAACAGAATCGTAGAAAAAAAATTTCTCTAACTTAAAGAGATGCCTGAAAATGTACAAGAAGTCAACAGAGCACCAAATAGATTGGACCAAAAAAGAAAATCCTACCGCCACATAATTATTAAATCACTAAATGTATAGAGCAAAGAAAAAAAATTAAAAGCTGCCAGGGCTGAGGGCCAAGTAACATAGAAAGGCAGACCTATTAGAATTACACCAGACTTCTCAATAGAGACTTTAAAAGTCAGAAGAGCCTGGACAGATATCTTGTAGACCCTAATGAGACCACAGATGTCAGCCCAGGCTATTATACCGTAGTATTGTAGTTTCTAACACCAAACTTCCAGGAATCACCATAGGTGGAGAAAATGTGATATTCTATGAGAAAACTAAATTTAAATAGTATCTTTCCACTAATCCAGCCCTAGAGAGGATACTAGAAGGAAAACTCCAACACAACAAGCTTAACTGTATCCAAGAAGACACGGGAAATAAAGAATTACACACCAGGAAAAACAAAAGAAGGGAAGAACACATACACTATAACTTCCAATATCAAAATTACAGGAATCAACAATTACTGGTCATTAATATCTCTTATTATCAATGGACTCAGTTATCCAATAAAAAGACACAGGTAAACAGAGTGGATATGAAAACAGGATCCATCATGCTGATGGGTACAAGAAACACACTTTAGCAACTAAGATAGACATTACTTTAGAGTAAAGTGCTGGAGAAAGATTTTCCAATCAAATGGATCCAAGAAACAAGCAGGAGTAGCTATTCTAAAATCTAATAAAATAGACTTTCGAACAAAATTAATCAAAAGATTGGAGAAGGGTACTACATACTCATCAAAGGAGAAAAAATCACCAAGATGACATCTCAGTTCTAAACATCTATGGCCAAAATGCAAGGGTACCCACATTTGTAAAAGAAAGGTCACTAAAGCTTAAATCACACATTGAACCCCACATGTTAACAGTGGAAGACTTTAACACCTCACTCTTACCAATCACCAGCTCAAGGAGATAGAAACTAAACAGAGAAATAATGACACTAACTGATGTTATGAATCAAATTGATCTAACATATCTACAGAACATTGTACCCAACCACAAAAGAGTATACCTTCTCGGCACCTCATGTAACTTTCTCCAAAACTGATCATATACTTGGTCAGAGAGCAAGCCTCAACAGGTAGAAGATTGAAATAATCCATTGTATTTTATCAGACCACCATGGATTAAAGCTGGAACTCAACAACAGCAGAAATAACAGAAAGCCTACAAGCTCATGGAAACTGAACAATCCCCTACTGAATGACTGGGTCAGGCATGAAATAAATACCAAAATTAAAGACTTTCTAGAATCCAATGAAGAAGAAAGCACAACATACCCAAACTTATGGGACAAAATGACAGCATTGCTAACAGGAAAGTTCAAAACTGGTTCTTTGAGAAAATCAGCAAGATATACAAACCGTTAGCCAAACTAACTAAAAGGCAGAGAGATAACATCCAAATTAACAAAATCAGAAATGAAAAGGGAGAGTTAACAACAGTGAGGAAATCCAAAGAATCATTAGGTTGTACTTCAGAAGCCTATACTCCATATAACTGGAACATCTAAAGGAAAGGGATGATTTTCTTGATAGAGTCCATTTACCAAAGTTAAATCAATATCTGTTTAACAACCTAAATAGTCCTATTGTCACTAAGGAAATAGAAATAGTCATTAAAAGTCTCCCATCCCAAAAAAGCTCAGGGCCAGATGGTTTTACAGCAGAATTCTATCAGGCTTTCAAAGAAGAGCTAATACCAATACTCTTCAAACTATTCCACAAAATAGAAACTGAAGGAATATTGCCAAACTCGTTCTCTGAAGCTATAGTCACCTTGATACATAAATCACACAAAGATTCAACCAATAAAGAAAATTTTAGACCAGTTCCCCTCGTGAACGTTGATGCAAAAATACTCATAAACCAAATCCAAGAACACATCAAAAACATCATCTACCAAGACCAACTAGGCTTCATTCTAGGCATGTAGGGATGGCTTAACATACAAACACCCATCAATGTAATCCACTATATAAACTGAAAGGAAAAAAAAAAAAAACGTATATGATCATCTCATTAGATGCTGAAAAAGCCTTTGAAAAATTCCAAAACCCCTTTATAATAAAAGTCTTGGAGAGATTAAGCATAGAAGGCACATACCTAAACCTCATAAAGGCAATATACAGCAAGCCGATACACAACATCGAATTAAATGGAGAGAATCTTAAAGGAATTTTATTAAATTCAAGGACAAGACAGGGATGTCCATTCTCTTCATATCTTTTCAGCATATTACTTGAAGTCCAGAGCAATAAGACAACTAAAGGATCAGAGAAGAATTCAAAGTATCACTATTCACAGATGATATGATAGTATACTTAAGTGACCGCAAAGCGTCTATCAGAGCCCCCCCACTCCCACAGTTGATAAATACTTTCAGCAAAGTGGCTGGATACAACATTAACTTAAAAAAAAATCAGTAGCCTTCCTTTATAAAAATGATGAGCGGGCTGAGAAAGAAATTAGGCAAACAACACTTTTTACAATAGCCAGACATAATTTAAAATATTTTGGTGTAACACCAATCAAGCAAGTGAAAGTCCTGTATGATAAGAACTTCAAGTCTTTGAAGAAAGAAATTGAGGAAGATATCAGAAGGTGAAAAGATCTCCCATGCTCATGGATTGGTAGGATTAACATAATAAAATAAAATAGTGGCCATCTTACCAAAAGCAATCTACAGATTCAATACAATTCCCATTAAAATAACAACACAATTCTTTACAGATCTTGAAAGAGCAACTCTCAACTTCATATGGAAAAATTAAAACCCCCGAATAGCTAAAACAATTCTGTACAATAAAAGAACTGGAGTTGTCATCCTCCCTGATTTCAAATTGTACTACAAAGCAATAGTAATGAAAACCGCATGGTATTTTCATAGAAACAGGTCAATTCATGGAATTGAATCAGAGACTCAGAAATAAACCCACTTACCAACAGACACTTGATTTTTGAAAAAGAAGCCAAAACCGTGCATTGGTTAAATAGAAAGCATTTTTATCCAGTGATGCTGTTCTAATTGGATGCCTGCATGAAGAAGAATGCAGATAGATCTGTATATATCACCCTGCACAAAAGTCCAAGTAGATCAAAGACCTCAGTATAAAACCTTGAAGTCATTGGCACAAGAACCAACTTTTTGAACAGAACACCAACAGCTTAGGCTTTAAGATCAACGTTTAATAAATGGGACCTCATGAAACTGAAAAGCTTCTGTAGGGTAAAAGGACACTGTCAACAGAACAAAACAGTAGCCTACAGATTGGGAAAAGATCCCCTTCATCACTACATCTGACAGAATGCTAATATTCAAAATATATAAAGAACTCAAGAAATCAAACACCAACAAATAATTAAGAATGGGGTACAGAGGTGAACAGAGAATTCTCAAGAGAGGAGTCTTGAGTGGCTGAGAAGCACTTAAAGAAATGCTCAGTGTCCTTAGTCATTAGGGAAATGCATATCAGATGACCCTGAGATTACATCTTACACCAGTCAGAATGGCCAAGATAAAAACTCAAGTGACAACACATGCTGGTGAGGATACGGAGAAAGGGGAACACCCCTTCGTTGCTGGTGGGAGTGCAAACTTTTTTTTTTTGTACAAGCACTTTGGCAATCAATCTGGCACTTTTTCAGATAATTGGGACTAGCTCTACCTCAAGACCCAGCTATACCACTCCTGGGCAGTGTCGAAAGACGCTGTACCATACCAGAAGGATACTTGCTCAATTATGTTCATAGCAGCTTAATTTGTAATAGCCAGAAATTAGAAACTTCCTGTATCTAGGCAGGATTTCCAGTAGAGTGATCAACCCACCACAAAAGATTTGATCCAGCGGAAGAATGTATAAAGAAATTGTGGTATGTTTATACAATGGAATACTACTCAGATATAAAAACAAGGAAGTCATGAAATTTGCAGGCAAGTAGATGGAACTAGAAAAGGTCATCTTGTGTGAGGTAATCTAGACCAAGAAAGACACACATGGTATATCCTCACCTATGAGTGGATTTTAGCCATGTAGTATAGGATAACCATACTACAACTCATAGATCCAAAGAAGATAATTAACAAGGAAGATCCAGGAGACAATCTTAAATCTCATTCAGAAGTGGAATAGAATAGACAGCAGCAGTGGTTGAAGAGCAGCAACAGGGTTGGAGAGTGAGCATGGAGAGGGACACGGGGTACTCGGGATGTTTTCCTTGTCAGAGGAATAGAGGAGGGGTATAGGGAGAAGAGGGAGGGAGGGAGGATTGGAATGGGAGGAGAATTGGGAGGGTCTACAATTGGTATGTATACTGAGGAAATAAAAAAATAATTGAAAAATAAAAAGGAAATCATGAAATTTGCAGGCAAATGGATGGCACTATGAAGTATTACCCTGAATGAAGAACCCAGACCCAGAAAGAGAAGCATGTTATGAACTCACTTTTTTTAAAAGTTTAATTTTATTTATGTAATAAATGTAATTATTTCATAATTTCATTTATGTGATAAATATTTATTACATTTATTCACTTTGTATCCCTCTGCAGCCCTCTCCCTCATCTCCTCCCAGTCCCACTCATCCTCTTCTTCCTCTGTGCCCTTTCCTTAGTTCTCTGATAGGGGAGGACCTCCTCCCCTTCTATTTGACCCAAGCTTATCAGGTCTTATCAGGACTGGCTGCATCATCTTCCTTTGTGGCCTGGCAAGGCTGTATCCCCCAGGGGTAGGTAATCAGAGAGCCAGCCACTGATTTCATGTCAGAGACAGCCCCTGTACCCCTTACTAGGAACCCCACTTGGAAACTGAGCAGCCAGTGGTCTTCCTTTGAACAAGGAGTCTAGGTTCTTTCCATGCATGGTCCTTAGTTGGAGTATCCATCTCTGCAGGCCCCCTGTGCCAAGGCATTTTTATGAACTCACTTTTAAGTGACTATTTAGCCATAAAGTACGGGATAGCCATGAAGCAGTCCACACATCTGAAGAAGTTAAGTAAGAAGGCAGGTCCAAGGGAGATTGAGGTCCAATGCTTCAATTTCACTCAGAAGGGGAAATAAAATAGACATAGGAAGTAGGTGGAGGGAGAAGGGATGGAAAAGGAATCAGGAGGGGAATGGGAGAAGGACCAGGTATAGGGACAGTAGGGGAATTGGGGGTGTAGGGGAGAGGGCTGGAGAGAGAAAAGAAATTGGTGGAGGCGGATCTGCACAGGGGTGGCTCTGGGGTGACTGAGACATCAGTAGTGGGTGCCTGAAGTGGTCAACTCCTTTGTCTAATCAGGACTTACAGTAGAGTGATGAAGACATCAACCCACCACAAAACCTTTGACTCAAAGTTTTTCCTGTTTACAAGATGTGCAGGGACAAAGATGGAGCAGAGATTGAGGGAATGGACAATCTCTGGTCCAAATTGAGACCCATCATGGGTGAGAGCCTATCCCTGACACTAATAATGATACTCTGCTATGCTTGTAGACAGTAGCGTAGTGTAACTGTTCTCTGACTGGCTTTACCCAGCAGCTGATGGAAACAGATGGAGAGACCCAGAGCCAAACATTAGGTGAAGTTCAGGGAGTCTTGTGGAAGAGTGGGGGAAAGGATTGAGGTAGCTGGAAAGGTGAAGGATACCACAAGAAAACTTATAGAATCAACTTACCTGGCCATGAGGGCCCACAGACTGAACCACCAACCAAAGAAAATGAATGGGCTGGACCTCGGCCGCTACTTATTATCTAGCAGGTGTGCAGCATTGTCATTGCATGGGTCCCCTAACAGCTGGAGTAGGGGCTGTCTCTGACTCTGTGCCTTTGGATCCCTTCCCTCTAGCTGGGTTGCCTTGTTTGGCCTCAGTGGGAGAGGATGTGTCTAGTCCTGCTGTGATTTGATGTGTCAAGGTGGGTTGGTACGTATTCAAGGCCTCCACTTTTCTCAGAAGTGGATGGTAGAATGGGGGAGGGGTGCTCTCTGAGGGGGTGACTGGGAGGTGAGGAGGGAATAAAGGCTTCAATCAGGATGTAAAGTAAATAAATAAATTAGTGAAAAAATTTCTGCTTGGAACTAGTTATGTGTATTTTTGTTAGATATATGGAATCCTTGAAGACAGGCATTATAACTAACTTATGAAATAAGTTCACCAATTATGACATATGACTATTATATAAATGTTGATTTAGGACATGAAAATAATACTTATTTGCGTTGTATAAATAAGGAGATAAGTAAAAATATGCAATTTAAGTTTTTGTGTTATCCACATCAAACACATGCAAACTTTAAATTTAATGCCAATAAGAAATTAGTAAGCATTGTTAAATTGGATGCAAATATTTTAAGAATTGTCACATTAATAATTAAAGATTGCTTGGATTCTAAATAATTAAGATTTTTAAAACGTAAGCCAAAGAGGGGGACATTAATTCCCTTTCTGTTTATTTTATGTTAGATATTGAAATCATTAAAAAATTTCTACTAATTACTCATGTAGTTTTGTAAAGCTATAAATATGAATTCTTTGGATATTGTCAGGTAATTTATTTTGGTACTAGCTAAAGAAAGCAGCCTTAAGGTAATTAGTGTGTGTGTGGTATAGTCATACGAGAGTATCATATGTTTTTTTGTCACTCTTCACCTTATTCCTTTGAGACAGGGTTTCTTGCTAACCCTGGACCTTGTAGTGTTTGACCAACCTGGTCAAAACAGGAAGCTCCGTTGATCCCGTGTCTGATTTGCTCCATGCTAGGGGTGTGCAGCACCATGTTTGGCATGTTACGTGTGGGCTGGAATCTGCTTGTCTATCAAGTATTGTTAAGTGCTGAACATCTCTCCAGGCCATTATTTTTAAATGCTGTTTGCAAATGCAAAATTCAAAAATTGGTTACATAGATTTTTAGAGCTAAAATATTATTAAAAGTCTCAGTTTTAGTAATCATAAATTCATATGCTTACCAAAGTTTCCTAGACCTTGGATGTGATCAATGTTTCTTTTTTCTATAAAATGAAATAGGATGACCATGAGAGCTGTGGTTCTAATTCTACCAACCGTAGCACTGCTGAGAATTCAAAATCATCCCTAAAACCGAGAAGAATTCAGCAGGCTGCTCCTGCAGACCCTGATTTACCACCAGGTAACTTCTAATGATGAATTTGCTGCTCTTACTGATCCTTTGGTAGTGTTTGTAGGATATATATTTTCTGTCTTATTTGCCCTCATAAAATGTTTAGGCCATATGCACATGTGCTTTGTTGTCCTCACAGTGGCTTCCAGTCAGATCTTGGTCCTTTCTTTGCAGTAAGTTAGTCTCAGTCTCTCAGACTTTGCCTTGTGCTGAGAGCTGAGAGAAGACACTGGGACACTGAGTTACTGGATGCTCTAAAAGTAACCAGGGACATTGTAGGATATTTTTAGCTATAGCTGAAAGCAACCTTGGCTACCATTGTTTTTATTTCCTAATGTCTTAATTTACCTCAGATGGTAGTGAGTTGAAAAGAAAAACTTTCTTAGCTAATACTTAGTGAAGGAAAAGATTATTTCATGCTAGCATTGTGGTCAAGTGCTGCCTTCCCAATTAACTGTTTGGTCACTTCTCTTTTGGTTTTTAAAATCAACCTCCCTCCCTCTCCCTTTCTCTCCCTCCCTCACTCTTCCCCTCCCTTTCTTTCTTCTCTCTCCTTTTTTTGTTTTAAATGTACATTGGTGTTTTGCCTGCATGCATATCTGTGTGAGGGTGTCCTCCCAGCTGGAATCACTGACGTAAGCTGCCATTTGGGGGCTGAGAATTGAACCCAGGTCCACCTGGAAAAACAGCTAGTGCTTCCAATGACTCACTGTTTTTGTGAGTTGTAGTGGAGATTGCTCCCTTGTGTCTCGGTTTGTAGGTTCTCTGCTAGTTTTAATCCAGTTAACACTAGAGTTTAGAGTTAGGCACACACACCATTTTGCAGCACTGCCACTCTCAGAAATGTTACTGGTATCTTTGAAACTAACATCTTTAGCAAGTGCTCCCGGCAGCTTAGTGCTATGTCTCTCTTATACATCTGTCTGGCAAAGGTGTAAATTTGTCTGGCTTTTAGTTGTTTCAGCTGAATAAGGTTCCACAAGATATTTCTAAATGTTTCCAAATTTGCTTACTATGCTTCCAGAAGTTTCTCAACTTCTTATTAATTACGTCTTTGGAAAAAATTAGACTGTAAATTAAACTGGTAGCTTATTCTAACATCAACTGGATAGATTCTTAATTTCTTCAAATTTGGCCATGTGTCTCCTTAAAATTTCCAGCATCACCCCATGTTTATAAATTTGTCTCTGTTCTTTACCTGTGTTTTCTGCTTTTTCTCTTCTCTTTTGTGAGTTTTAGGATAACTGAGTTTTGTTCCGTATTTTGTTTTTCTTAAGAAAATCTTCAGGATGTTATACATTGAGTTCAGATAGGACCTTTCTAAAGCTTACTTGTGAACTCAGATTCTAGACATTTAAGGACTTGTTAGAGCCATCATTAGGATTTAGACTACTGGAAAAATGACACTTGGTCTAATTTTAGTGCTGTAGGACAGAGTTGTATTCTACCTGATGGCTTGAGGTAGATTTTGGGTTCACATGTGCTTTCTGCCTTGCCTACAAAGTTAGGAAGTTGTTAAGAAGCAACTGGAAGAGGGTTGTAAAGTGATTAAATAAATAAATTAATAAATAAATAAGTAAATAAACAAATAAAAACTCTGATAGTTAGGCATGGTAGTACTTACCTGTAATTCTAGCATTTGGGAAGCTGAGGCAGGCGAGTCTCAGGTTTGAGGCTAGGCTACAGGGTGAGACACTTGACTACAGATAAACAGACTTTGGGATGACCTTTTCTCACCTTGTATGGAGGTTTGTTCCTGTTTTTTTTTCAATTGTTAATTGCTGTGCTGGCAGAGATCTAAGTGGTGGCAGGATTTTGGTATTGTAATTTCTGTGGCCCATCCTCAGTTTTCTATATGTAAATGCTTGTCTGTAGGTATAAGGTTATTGTGTAATTCAAATGTTGATTTCTGTATTCCCATATTTATTTGCTATATTTGTTCTGAAAATCTCCTGTGTCATGTTGTGTTAACACTGCTCCCCAATTGTTATATGATATGTCAGTAAAGCAGCTTACAGCCAGTTGCTGAGCAGGGGAGAAAATAGGGCTGGATTTCCTGCCTGCCAGGGGAGGAAGAGTTAGAGGAGTAAGTGGGGGATTCAGCCATGGCAGAGTTTGAAGATCATCAGGAGTAGGAGCTGGAACAGGGAAAGCTATAAAGTACAAATATTCTGGGATGTATGCTGGTAGGAAACCAAATTAGCTTAGAGGGTTAAGAATAAAGTTAAGACTGCTCACTTCTTGTGTTGTGAAGCTTATTATTAAGCAAATATAAAAGAGTCTGAATTATTTGTATGATAGCTAGGTTAAGGAAAAAGCTAAGAGAAACAAACACAGTTTTATAAAAATAAAAATAACACGTCCTTCCTCACCTGATCAAAGGATGTTTCTCTATGATTATCATATTAAAAAGAAAGCTGCTTTTACGAAAAAGTAAAAATTATCTTGTAAAGCCTCAGGAAAAAAAAAGTCAACTAGATATGTTGGCCAAATACTGGGAGTCAGATCGGTTAAATGTTGCTAACGAGAGAAAAAGGAAATTTTGAGCATATGATTGGATAAACAGTGATCATTTATTTAAATGACCTATACCGATATTATGCTCTTTTTTTTTTTTTTTCCCCCATGGTAGAGGCAAACACCTGTTCCTAGCTTTCCTAATGCAGAGTTATATCTCTGTGGCTGTAGCTTTGAGGGTAGAACATTTTTAAGGGTCAGAAATTATTTAAAACTTTAACATTTAAAATTTTTTATGTGTGTGGGTGTTTTGCCTGCATGTGTCTATGCACTGATTGTGGTCCTGCTGTTTGCAGAGGCCAGAAGAGTGCCCAGGACTGGAGTTACAAGGTTTGAATCAAGCTCTACTGGAAGAGTAGCCAGTGCACACAATGGAGCCATCTTATCAGTGTCTCCAGAAATGATTTTTAAGAAAATTTTGGTGTCATCAATGGATAGACATTTGTTTTGCTGTTTTGTTGGATAAATAGCTTTCAAATAGGAAAAGAGTAAGAGTTGTATCTAGAAGTCTTTCAGATTGTGTATTTTGACCAGTTAGTGCAATGTTAAAGCAATGTAGTGGGTTACAATAAGCATTTTTTAAAAAAGATAAACCCCGCAGGGTAGAAAACCTCAAGATCATAGCATGTAGTAAGAGATCGTAGGATATTTGCGCACCTGCATGTGCTTGTGCTAGGATTTGATGTCATATTTCTACTGGGTAGAAGTCAAAAGAGTCATTCTGATTTAAAGGACAAACATTTTCTTTAAAGTAATGATATATATATCCAAGAGCAGCAATTTCTGGTAGTAATAGTTGCGATTTTTGGGCTTAGCTCTCCTGTAAGATATAACAGCAGTTTTTCCTGTTTATTTTCTGTTTTATACTTCCCTGTGTGTTTTTTCCCTCTCCCCCCACCTTTTTTTTTTTTTTTTTTTTTTTTTTTTTTTTTTGGCTTTGCTGGGGATAAAGCACAAGGCATCACACAGGTTAGGCAAATACTGTACCACTGAGGTGTATGTAGGTTCTGTGTTTTATCTTATTGTAAAGGGAGTCCATGTCTCCCTTCAGTTCTGTACTTCCTGAATTAGGGTTTGGCTTTTATTGAAAGACATTAAAAAAAAAGTCCTTAAAGGGTATTGCTTTGATTACAATCAGTCTATTAATTGACTTAAATTTTTCTTTATGAAATGTTTCCTTTTAAAATTTCTACTTTAACTGTATGTGAGGAAGCTCAGAGATAAATTTGTGTTTTACTGTATAGATGTAGTACAGTCACGTTGCAATACATTTACAACACACACTCATTTTAATGTAAATATTTAGGGTTTAGTTAAGCTCAAAACTATGTACTCATGAGTCAGAAAAAATAATTTAGTCATCTTCTAACTTCAGCTTTATAGTAAGCAAGCACATTCCATGAAGGGCCACTTAACCATGTAAATCATATTTTTGTCAGTTTTCTGATAATGCTGTGAAATAAGACATAAATGATTAATAAAGTAATAAACATGGCTATGTGCCAATAAAACTTTAGTCTTGACAAATTTCATACAGCCCATACTGTCATGCATACTCCTCTCTGACCACAGTGTAAATGATTAGAAAAATGTACTTATTGGTATGTTTTGAGTTTGCATTTACTGTCTTTTAAAAATCTTTTCTAAGCTTTGGTTTTGTTCCTGTCCCAACCGTGCTTACTATTTTCAGAGTGCTAAAGTAGCTGTTCCCTTTGTGTTTTTTTTTCTGGGTTTTAGAGCTGTACTGAAAATGGAAAGATGGGTAGAGTACCTAACATTATCTTACCTAGAATTGAACTGCATTTTACTGTCCATGCCCACATACATGCACGCATACTTTGTTTCAATTACCTGAAATTTTTTCTTTGTCTATTCATAACATGATACCAGGACATTAATATATTTAACATTTAAAAAAAAAAATCAGTGCTGGGACTGGAGAGATGACTCAATGGTTAAAAGCATTGAATGCTCTTGTAGAGGACTGGAGTTCAATCCTCAGCACCCACATGGCAGCTCACAACTGTTGGTAACTCCTGTTCCAGGGTATTCAATACCCTCGCACAGATACGCATGCAGTCAAAACACCAATGTACATAAACTAAAAATAAAAGAAATTATTTAAAAAAAATCAGTGCTGTGTAGCTACTGAGTAGTTTTTATAGTTTTTACAGTTTTTATAGCTTAATTTGCTTTTCTTTAGTATGTTTTCATTTTCAGTTTTGAAAAAGTTTGACATACATGTAAGATAAGTTCTTGCACACATTTCTTTATTTCCTTTAAGAGATGTTTCCTAATAGGTAGAATTTAAAATGTGTAAGTAATTTTAAGGTTTTCAGCATAGGTGACAAAATTATTGTGTGATAATTCTTTATTCCAATAAGGTTTTGATGCATTGCAATTTATTTTTATTATTAGAAGTCTTTGTTTGAAATTTTCAGATTAAAAAAAATGTTATTCGATATATTTTATAGCTAATTGGAATTAATATTTTTCCATCTCTTTTGTTTTGTCACTTTGTGTTAAAAAACTTAATACATTTTATTAGCTAATTAGTATTCTGCCATTTTCAGTTACTGCATCTTGGATTTTTTAATGTAAATGCCATTAGTTTTGTGGAATGACTAACATTATTATTACATTTATTTATTTGTTTTGCTTGTTTGTTTTGTTTATGCCACACTTGTACCACACTTAGGTCATGTGTAGAGGACAACTTGAAGAAGTAGGCTCTTTTCCCTCACCATGTGGATCACAGGGTCAAGTTCAGGTTGCTAGCCTTCTTAGGCAAGTTCTTTTACAATCTGAGTCATCTTGTATTTCCTGTCCATGCATTCTTTCTTTTCTTTCTCTCAGTTCTGTGCAATACGGGTATGTGCATGCATGTACATGTATGTGCATGCACAGTGGCCAGAGGTAAACACTGAGCATCATTTTTCTATTGCTCTCCAGTTTACCTTTTGAGGCTGGGTCTCTTACTGAGCCTGGTGTGCATCAGTTCATCCTGTGAAGGTTTAGGGATCCACCTGTCTTTGCTTTCCCAGCTCTGAGGTTGCAGATATGTGCTACAGTGCCTGGTTCCTTTTTCATGGGACTCAGGCAGCATTTTAGTCACTGAAACATCTCTCCAAAACCCCTATTCCCCTACCCCTTTTTTGAGACAATGTCTCACCGTATAGCACTGATTGGCCTGAACTCTTTATATAGACCAGATTAGTCTTGATCGCATAGAGATAGCCTACCACTGTCTTCCAGTAGCTCTGTGCTCTGTACTGTTTTTTTTTTTTTAACATATATTTCTCCTCTAGTATATGTTAGTATTACATGTTAGGGAGTGCAATCAAATCCATCATTTGGCTGCATTTCTCCTAACTTTTTGTTCTGAGGCATAACATATATTTTTATGACCAAAGGAGGACTAGAGGGATAGTAGTTATTTCAAAAGGAAGCTGCTCTTCTTTGAGTATATGGCACAGTCCACATATAGTAACATTGAAGCTCTTTAATTTATTAGTTAATTAATTATTTTTTCAGAGCATTTCTTGTTATGAAGCCTTGCCTCTGTTTCCTCCTACTGCAGCCTCTAGAATAGCTGGCAATATAGGTATTTGACACCATGCCAATTGTACAGGAAGCAGGCAGAAAGCAGACAAAGATTGTATATAATACAAAGTATATAATACAGTGTGTTGTATCTAATGCTAACATTATTAAATATGGTCTCCAGTATATTTGTTCATGTGTCCTTATAGCATCTTTTAATAAAAGTGTTTGGATATCTGCTAGTCTAATTTATTTAAACTTTATTTTTTAATAGAATATTCTATAATAATACTTTCTATATATATTAAGTTTAGTAGCATTTCAAGAGTATTTATTGGTATACTTGTGGCTAATGGAGCTCTCTTTACTTTGTAGGATATGTGCAAAGTCTGATTAGAAGAGTTGTAAATAATGTAAACATTGTTATAAATAATCTCATACTAAAATATGTTGAAGATGACATTGTTCTTTCTGTCAACATCACTTCTGCTGAGTGCTATACTGTGAGTGAATTATGGGATCGTGCATTCATGGATATTTCTGGTGAGTAAATGTCAAGAAAATAGTGTTAGTGTCTATTTTTCCATAAATGATAAAATCATATTCCCTTTGTAACCTTTTTGGAGGCCATTTTAGTAGCTATAATATAAGGTTTATGTAATTGATGTGGGAAAAGTACGCATATACAAAAATTAGCATTTAACGACAGGAGGTTAATAGCAGTTTAAGAAACTATGAAATGGTTTAAAATTTTATTTCCATTTACTTATATGGTTGTTTCAACTGTGATATACAATGTTTTACAGTATAATGAATTATAGCAATAAAATTTTTGTTTACATTGAGTTTTCAATACTTTTTTAGGAAGGAAAGTAAGTATATTGTTTCACATACTTTTTATAAGAACATCTTGAAGCTTTTAGCTATGACTTGCCCTATTCTCCTTATCTTAGAAGAACGATCTAGTGCCAACACAACTTAATAAATGTGAGTCTGCTTGTGCTTTACATGTAGGCAGCCATCTGCACAGCTTTCATCTGTTGGAGTGGTTTAATTAAATAAATATTAAATTTGTATATGTTTGATACATTTAGAAGTGCATTCTGATTTTTCTTTTGCTCACAGTGTTTTTCTCTTTCTTGTTTTTTTAAGCAACTGATCTGGTACTGAGGAAGGTTATCAACTTTTCTGATTGTACAGTTTGTCTTGATAAACGAAATGCTAGTGGTAAAATTGAATTTTACCAGGATCCTTTATTGTACAAATGTTCTTTTAGAACTCGCCTGCATTTTACATATGATAACCTAAATTCCAAGATGCCATCTATTATTAAAGTGAGTATCTCTTTTTCTAGTAATTTGTTGACGTATCCATTTTGTTATTTTGTTCTTGTGCATGGTAATTACAATGAAAATAATCAAAGGAAAAAATGAACTTCATAAATATATGTGTTATTTGTTTTTGTAAAAAGTTAAATGTACTGGTTTATATATTTTAAACTTTTTGTATAGTGTGTTCTGATAGAGATATTTTAGAGGTTACCTGTTCTGCAACTACAAATTTCATTTTCAGTTTTGCTGTCTATTATTAGGTCTTTATTTAACTACTGAGGACATCTTATAAAAAAGTAGCACAGGCCCCAAGATGGAACTCCAGTACACTCCGAAACTTCAGCACAGCAGCGGTCTGTCTTTTAATTCCTGCAGTTTGATTGGCAGGATGTGGCAAATACTCATTTGCCTTAAGCTGTTTTATAAGGCTTGATAGGATAACCAAACCCAATACTTTAGTTTATTGGCTCAAAATTTTTGTGCTGCTGTTGAAATTAGATCTAATTCTGTTTCCTAGGCTTTCACTGTGTATCCCAGGCTGGTCCTATATTAGTAGCAATTTTCCTGTTCCAGCTTTCTTCATGGTGACCCACCATGAGCTACCACGCCTGCTCAAGTATTAGCTTTTGATTCATAATTTCAATAAGTAAATAAAATTTTAGAGAAGTAGAGTGTCCTAGGATGTGTCTCTTGATGCATGTAAATATTTGTTGTTCTTTAAGGTACTTGTCAATGTATGTAGTATGTATGCAATCATAAATCTTGTTTTATTATCCACTAGTTTTTTTGAATATTATCATTTTTATGAATATATTTGTATAAAAATTAAATTTTCTTTTTTTAATACTACATTTTAGTAAAGCACAGTTAAGAAATATATAAACATTTTATTGACTCTTTGAAAAGTGATTTCCAAGAACCTTGGTATTCTCAGCTTGAAGGGACCTTAGGGAACCACTTCATTTTCTGGAAGTGGAAACCAGGGTCCAGATAAATAATTAGGTTGATGTCATGTAATAAGTTAATGGTGGCACTGGGCAAGAGTGCTTAGATGCCTGATTCCTGGTTTAGAGCTGTTCCAGTTTCAAACAGGAGGCTAGAATTATGCTTATAAAATATTATGGACTGTATTTCTGAGAACACACCCATAAATCTTTCTCTCTCACATCATTAGATGGGAATTGTTATTATTTTTCCTTTTATTGAAGATAGCTTTTTTTCTCATATAGGATATCCTGATATAACTCTCTACTCCTCTCTACTCCCAGTTTCTCTTACCTCTCCTACCATCCAGATCTGTAACCCTCTCCCCTGCCTTTTCTGACTCTTATTAGAAAATGGTTAATAAAATAAGATAAAACAAAAACTAACATCTCGGAATAGGACAAAACAAACAGAAGAAAAAGAGCTCAAGAAAAGGCACAAGAAACAGATATAGATGCAAAGGCCCACTCGTTTGCACAGGAATCTTATAAGAACGCTAAACTGGAAGCCATCATATATCCCTAAGGGACTGATATATTTCATATGAATGCTGTTCCAATCTCTCTGAGTTCATAGGTGTGCTGATCCTGTTGGTTAAGAGGGCCTTGTTTCGTTGGTGTTCTCCATCCACTCTAGCTCTTACTCTCTTTCCATCTCCTCTTATGCAGGGATCCCTGAGGTGAGGAACTTGATGGAAACATCATATTTAGGGTTGAGTGTTTCAAGGTCTCTCACTCTGCATAGTGTTTGGCTGTAAGTCTTTGTATTGTTCCAATTGCTGCAGGAATTTTCTTTGTTGATGGCTGATGGTTGATACTGATCTATGATTTTAGCAGGGTATCATTAGGGGCCATTTTATTGTTATGTTCTTTTAGTAGAGCAGTAGTATTTGGATTTCACCTAGGCCCCTGGGCTGTCTAATTTCAGGTTCTTGGTCACCGTAGCAATATTGGGTATGGGTTTCTTCTTGTGGTGTCAAGTGGCCTTAAGTCAAATCAGATAGTGGTTGTTTAACCCTACAAGCTTCTGGCCAACATTACGCTTAGCATATCTTCCAGGCAGATAGACATTGGGTAGATCAAAGGGATTTTAGCTCGGTTGGTGTTTATATTTCTCCTTTGGTAGCATTCAGAGTACCTTCCTGTACCAAAATAATAGAAATTTAGGGATGAAGGCTCTATGTAGGTACCAGCTCGACTTTTTCATGGTCTATGAGTTGTGTAGTTGTTGTCTTCAGCAATAGGGCCTTGCCAGTAAAGTATAATAACTTTGCCAAACTTTATATTTATATATAAATTTTGTTTTTCCTTGATGTATTTTTATTTTCCCAGTGTTCAGTCTGTATTGGTTTCCCTAAATTTGTTAGTCTCTCCTTCTTTATTTGCATATATATATAATATATATTAAATATATAATATAATACAGAAGTGTTGGTATCTCTTTCTCAGGAAGTAAACTTATGTTCCTAAGCCTTGGTGTGCCTATTAAAATAATGTGTGCACACACACACACATACTTTATTAAATAGAATCTTGTTATGTATTATAGGCTGACATTGATGTTGTGATGCCCCCTTTTTTATCCTATATAATATTTTATATTATAGGCTTGTATCATCAAGCCAGGCTCCAAAGCACATTTTGAAATCAAGATGTCAGATACTGTCAAATTATTCTCAACTGAAATAAATTTTTGAGTGTTTTATTAGAATTATCGTGATATAAAATTTGTCATTTTGAGTTAGGCGCATTCTTCTTCTGGGTCCAGAAACCTTTATTAGGGGGATGTGGTTAGCCTTTTGGATCATTTATTATAGTTTTTTTTCTTAATTATTATTCATTTTTATTTTGTAATTTTATAGACCTTTTTTATAGGCTTAAGTGGCTTTTGAATCTATTTGTATTTTGTTTAAGCTGTTACAGTTTTCTGTGTTTTATATGAAATGTGTTTTAGAGATTGTGTCATGAGATATATATCATATAGAAACATAATTTATTTTTTTTACCCTCTATTTTTGGAGTTTACTCTATATTTTTTAAGAAAGAATCAAGTTTCTATATAAATTTTAGTAATGTATGATTAATTCCTTAGAAAAGTTTTCTATAATTTTATAGTTTAAGTATCTTATTAATGTGTTTAAATTTTTTCTAAGACATATAAAGCTGTATTGAAAAGAGAAGTTTAACCAGGACTTATACCCATTACTGTTAAGGGAAGTATCCTTATTATTTTCTTGTTAGCCTTAAATGTTTAAAAATATTTCCAACTTGTTAGGCAAGGATTGACAGTCTAACTGACATTTATTAATTAGGATTATAAAGAAAATCATTGGGCATTTAATTGTTGATATATCCATTCAGGCTTTTTGTTTATTTTTCTGGTGAGGAAAGTTTTACAAATTGATTTTTAAATGACTCTTGATGTATATTAAAGATAGATTTTCCTTTTCTGTTGCTTGTTTTGCTAAGACCACTTTACACTGGTGCTTTTGTTACAGTGCACACACTTCAAGGTTGTAGCAAGGCACTAGGCTGTGAGTGGCCACTATGTTGTGGATTTTTATCAGGCATGGGACTAAGAAGCAGGAAACCAAAGATAGTCTAAAATAACTTGACAGGCATAACTCAAGAAAAGGTTAGGCTGGATGTGATAGTGTACCTGTAATGAAAACATTCTGGATACTAATGCAGGAGGATTACAAGTTTAAGACTAGGTTGGGTTGCATAACAAGACCCAGATCAGCCAACCAGCCAACCAGCCAACCAGCCAACCAGCCAACCAGCCAACCATCCATCCAACCATCCATCCATCCATCCATCCATCCATTCATCCATCCATTCATCCATCCATCCATCCATCCATCCATCCATCTATCCATCTCTCTTTCCTGCCTTCCTGCCTTCCTGCCTTCCTGCCTTCCTGCCTTCCTGC